CTATAAAATCCTCTAACCCTGTGATAGGGAAAGGCAGCACAAACACAGAGGCAAACAGTGTTAAATCTCATTTGTAAATATTATCCTGGCTGTGTTTACCAGTGTAACAGAGCACGTCAGAGCTCCTCCTGAGCTGGGCACAGCAGAGGACAGCTGCCCACCCGTGCTACCTGCTAAAGGAGGGAGGGTTGGATTTTGGTGTGGAAGATCCCAGCTCAGACCCTAATGACCCACTGCATCATCCATGGTAAGACTAACATTTGCTGTCAGCTAGTGGTTGCTGTCAGCTTTGGAAAAAGATGTAAAGCAATCTCTGTGTGCATCATCTGAAAAAAAAAAAAAAGAAAAAAGAATATTCACGAAAATAAGCAAGGCCAGAATTTTGTCTGTGCTGGAGCAGGGAATCCAGATGTGCTCATGGCTTCAGCTTCTAAACACAACTGTGTGGGAAGACCAGAAGTTGCTTAATTCACATCATCTCTATGATGTTTTTCCTGTTTGAGAGTTGTGGTCTTGTCATTTCTACCCAGATTTAAACAAAATAACATTCTTTTCCACCTTTTGAAAACACTTGGAGGTGGGAGCAGGAGTTGGACTCAATGATCCTCGTGGGTCCCTTCCAGCTCAGGAGATTCTGTGACTCTCTGTGTTCTTAAAGGTAATTTTTTCCACCAAACTGGGAACATTAATTTATTTCCTTGTAATTTTCAGATATATCTCTGACATACAAACAAATATGGAGTGGAAATGAGCACCAACCTGAAGTACCAAAACTTCTTATCATGAATTTTCTGCTTGGAGGAGCCAGTTTAACCTTAGTAGATGCTTAGTAGATGTTTAGTAGATGCTAACTAACATTTTACATTTTATTTTCACTTCCAGCAGGTCCTTAGTGTACTGAACAGTGAGAGACTAGACCTTAGTGCTAAGTCTTGCCTTTGCATTACCATTCCCACACTAGTTTCCACCAAATGCTGCCAGGTGTTCCCTCACTGCTCTTCTTACAGAGATTTCCACATGACACCATCCCTGTGCAGTCCCTTAGAGAAAGCACAGACAAGTCAGAGTGTATTTTATTCCCAGCCTGGGGATGCAAGAGGCAAACTTCCCTGACCCTGATGGGAAATCACACACCACTTACCCAAACCAAAAGGTTTGCACCCACAGCCACATGTATGTATCCAATGGGAATAAATATCCTACCACCTGCTCTTGCAGTTTTCTTCCAAAACGTCTCCCTACATTCCAGCCAGCCTGTTTCCCTGCTCCTGCTCTCTTACAGCATGTCCTGGCACTCAGGGGAGGGCACCCAACACTCCATTTCTGTCTCTACAAAGGAGGTACAGAAAGGACAGTACCCCCAGGCAGCTTTAAGGGCATCAGAATGGACAAGACAGCAGATTTCCAGTCCCAAGGAATAGAGCTGCCAAAATTCCCTTCCTGGAGCCTGCCAGCAAGCAGGAGCACTTCTCATCCCTGCACCAACCACCTTCCTTTGCTCCATGGAGCTACTCTGCAACTTGTGAAGCACCACTAACTCCTGCAAGTGGGCCTCAAACATTACATGAGGGGCAGCAGCACAGCTTCTCCCCACCATGCCTGTACGAGTATGAACATGGCATTTAAAGGAAAGAAAGGAAAAGTATGTTCTCTTGTTGCCACACATTGTTTTCAAGTCAAACTATGAAACTCCTGAGCGCAGGGGAGAGAGTGATGGCTAAAGTAGACTGCTGTTTCCCAAAAGCTGTGGCTCACGGCCAAAGTCAGGCAAGCATGGAGCAGATGGAGTCCTGGCAAGGCCTCTACTGTCCCTGCATTAGCAGCATCTGCTCATTACCCAGAACCCTCGCCTGCTTTATCTAATGCTCCAGGAAAAGCATTTTGATTTGATTCATTTCAGTTCGGTAACATGCAACACAATTAGTGGTAAAATCAAACTGGAGGCCTGCCAGTGCTGACAATAGGAAACAAGGCAGAAGAAATATGAGGCCAGTGGGTTGGAATTCAAAAATCACAACTGTGGATCAAGTTGCCAAGTCCCGTTGCCCCAGGTGTACATCCAGTGCCCCCACTGAGTGCTGGCATGGGCAGAGGGAACTTCATTTGCTCCCCATACATTTCTCTCTCATTTACCTCTCCTTGCAGCTTGTTTCTCAGGGGCTGAGGCTGTCGGGAACATTCACCAAGAGTCACAACACAGTTTTTCTCTAGTGCCAGCGAGGAGTTACAATTCACTCTGGATGGAGGCATCCCAGTAAGACAAATCTTTCCCCTTGCTATGCTTCCTATGCCTTGGGAAGTGTTTGCTACTAGGGAACCAGCGCTGCAAGGCAGGATCTGCCTGTGAGCTCTTCCCTGTGATCGGGTGCCAAGGACATCGCTGCGTGAGCTCTGCTGAACTGGGAGAAACTGATGTTATCGGAACGAGTCTGCTAGCCAGGGATTCGACAGAGAAGTCTAGACTCTTTGCCTGACAGCACCACCTCCAACACTAGCAGATGGTTTCTCTGTGTTAGTCAAACTTACAAACAAAGAGAAAAGGGAGCTGGAAAAGTACAACAAAGAACAATCAAACACATTATCTTCAAAGTCGTCCTCTCCCTCCCCAAATTGAAAACCATTCCCTCCACCAAACTGTAAATATGTGCTTTCAGCCTGCAGTTAGTAAACATTTCTAAAATCAGGCTTTATAACTCCCTATTCCCATAGAAACAAATCTATTCTGACCAGGCTCCTCGAATCAGAGGCACTGCCATATCACAGAGCCTATTAAAATTTCTACCCAAAAGAATAAAAGACGCCGAAGCTTTATGCAAACTAGTTCAGTCACAGCACACGCAGCACTGACAACGAGGAGTATGACAGGAAAAAAAACCAGACAAATTATTAGATTAGCCAGTGGGAAACTAGAAAACAAACAAAAGACCCTCTGCTAGTCCTTGTGTGGCACACTGGACAAAAAGCCAACACTTAGAACTATCACTGTGTTCTAATTTCCTACGACTTGAGTAAATAACATTAACGAGTATTCTGTAACACCAGATTTGCTGCTGTCAGAAAATGTTGCATATTAACAATTTTTAGCCACAGAAAACCATTCCAGCATGATCCGAGCTAGAAAAACAGCTAAGGATATTAATAATCTCAAAACATATAAAGTATTTCATTTACTTTTAAAATGCAATATATGGATTTGAGATTTTGTTTGGATTATCCATCTCTGTTGCGTTTCCACCTGTAGAAATGCCAGGATCAAAGACAGGATGTGTACAAAGCTCCCTAACTTTAAAAATACTCTTTATTCATACCCCGGGAGATGTTCCAAGTGTCAAATTACAGATTTTAAAGCAAGAAGATAGGAGCTGAGTTCTGCCTGAGCCCCTCAGCCTAAGATCCCAGTTGGCCAGCACGGTCCAAACCCAACTTTTTAAATTGCTGTTCCCACATCCAGGAGATGTACAGTCAGTCTCTGGCTCTTGCTGTCCGTTATATAAACCTCTAAGGATATTTAAAACAATGCACACAACCAGGGTTTTATTAGGGTTTCAGTAAATACTAGGTCAAAGCTTTTATTTCTCTGTATCAAAGTATATAATAACCCACCACTGCAAAACAAGACTTCAGTGCATCCCCACACCGTGCCAAGAGCCAGAGAGAGGACTCAGATTCATCAGACATGCAAGTTTACCACTATTCCCATAACAAAGCCCCACAGCACCCCAAGGGAATTTTGGACAGAGGAGAAGGCTGGTGGAGGAATATTTAATATTTTTATAGCAAAACAAGTTATTTGCTTAAGATAGCTTGGCTGGACTACAGCCTGGCACTCAAGCTTTGTGTAGCAGTTCCAGTAGGAATTACAGCTCAGTTTTAATGGGTGCTATGTTCCAATGCCTCCTAATGCATTTAGGGTTATTGGCCAACTTTCTCACATAAAAGCAAGTGTGTGTGCGTGTGTGTGTGTACACAGGATTACAGACACACAAAAAGCTGAGCACAGCTGCTTCATTTTTGTAAAGCCTTTTTTTTTTTTTAATAGGGAGGAGAGTTGTGGTTACTTACCGTCCTCATAGGCTGCTACAGCCAGAGAGCTGTTTATCCTCACAAAGGAGACATGTGGCGGAGGTCCAGCATCACCAGGACCATGCACTGGTTCCAGGATGGGGGCTGTGTAGTCCCAGGTGCGAGTGTCCCACAACCTCACTTCTCCTGATGTATATCTGGAAAAGAAGGCTATTATTCATCTCAAAACAGAGGTAGCTGCAGGAGAAAGGAGGAAGGAACAAAAAGTGTCTGAAAACTCAACACCATTTACAGCTCCTAGACTGATCCTCCTGCTGTTTACTCCCATCAATTTGGCTCATTTTATTCCCACTTACTGAATGTAGCATCAAGCCTACCAAGACAGGCAGATAAATTGGAGCTATAAGATCTACACAAGTTACCAACTATCAATATTACCTTTACAATTAACATGCAAGGAGAGCCAGGCTCCAGAGAAAAAAAAAAGGTAATCAGTAACAAGTCTAAATTACATCATGGCAAAACACCAAACTTTCTTTTCACTCCTTAAAAATTTGTGATTGTGGCTGTGCCAAGAAAAGGCTGTTGAATCAGAGCATTTAGGTAGGTACATGGAAGCACTCACACATGCACTCACCCAACCTACTGCTCCTTATAGGCATTTCTTAATGCCTCATCAACAGATCAGATTTACCTACATCTCTGAAGATTAAGTAATTTATTCATCATTCCCCTCCAGAGGAGGTCACAAAGTTGATAAGAAGACTGGAGCATCTGCCCTATGAAGACAGGCTGAGGGAGTTGGGGCTGTTCAGCCTGGAGAAGAGAAGGTTGTGTGGAGACCTCAGAGCAACTTTTTAATCCCTGAGGGGCCTACAAGGAGCTGGAGAGGGACTCTGTGTTAGGAACTGCAGTGATAAGACAATGAGTAACAGGTTCAAACTGAAGGAGGGGAAGTTTAGGTTAAATATCAGAAAGAAGTTTTTTATTCTAAAGGTGGCACTGGCAAAACACTGGCACAGGTTTCCCAGGGACATGGAGGCTGCCCCGACCCTGGCAGTGCTCAAGGCCAGGCTGGATGGGGTCTTGAGCAACCTGATCTAGTGAGGAGGTGTCCCTGCCCAGGGCAGGAGGTTGGGACAAGATGATCTGTAAGGTCCATTCCAACCCTTAAATTCTATGATTCTGTCTAAGTGCTGTCTTCAGAATTAAGGCAGTGCTGCCTTATTTGCAGAAGACTCACTGAAATATCACAGAAACTGTAGTTTAACATTAGTTTGACGATGAGGAAAGACAAAAAAACAGAACTACACTTCTCAGGTAATACTGAATGTATGTAAATGAATTAAGGCTGTTACACAGCAAGCACCATATGAAGTGCTCTGGGCCATCTATGCCTGCACAGTATAGTATTAAAGAAAAAACCACTGCAGGCAAAGCAGAGGAGAAACTCCTCAACAACTGGTCAAAGACCACAGTTCAATAGCCATTTGGAACAGTTCAATAACCATTTAAGATCAGCTTTGACAGGACTGTGACAATTAACACTGTCAAAGGTTCAGATGTCTTTCTCTGCCATAGCTAACACTTGGATTCTATTGGAAAACGAAAGGTACTTCCTGCTCCGTCAGCTTTGTTGTTACACCCTGACTTTTGGGGCAAAAGGATTATAAAGGAATGATTCTTACAAGCCTCAAAGGTCTATGGGTAGGAATGTAGCTGTCCTATATTTAGGAGCAAAATAAGAAAATAGTTATTTACACGAGAGATGAAGTAAGTGCTTAATAAAGGTCTAGAAGATGTTGGACTTGGATCAGGTTACCCAGTTCTTTGGGGAGTGCCATGCACAAGGCTACAGGTACTCTAGAGCAGATGACTCTCAACATCTCTGGGTGAAAACACTGCACTTTGTACAACTAATTAAAGTGCCCAAGGGGGTGGTGAAATCTGCCAAGCAGAGAGAGATGCACATTAATTTTCTGCACTGAGTCAGGAAGAGAGGAGAACTGTGTCCTTGTCATCTGGCTTCTTCTTTTGTGCTTTTCAGGGTAAGACAGAAGAAAATGAGAGAATAGGGTGGGACAGCACTTCTTCTTTTACTCTTCCTGCAAACGAGGCCCAAACCCCTCTCTGAATCCTGCTTTCATTTCCAATTTACAGCAGCAGGACTTAAAAAGAACAGATCAAGAAAGAAGCTTCCCCAGAGCAAAATGTTTCATGTTGGATCCAACAAGCAGTTTGGATCAGTTCACAACAAATATCTCCAGTTTGTAAAGCTGAAAAGTGCTCAGTTCTGATACATTTTAAAATCTGGAGATAAAACACAATGGGACAGGTAATTGTGCAGATCTGCTGCAGTCCCCTTCAACAAGAGGCACACATAACAATTGGAAACATTTTAATTTTGAGCTGATTTTTGTTTCCTTATGTTAGGGTTGGTTGGGGTCATGTTTTCAAGCTTCTCCTAACTGCCAAGAACAGCAGATTACTCCCAGGGGGAAGCCAAAATTCTCTTGTCACTAAGCGACCCTGAAAAGTGAGTTTCAAGGGAGACATAAAATACTGGTAGAATTGACAGAACTCAGTGACAGAATATTTATTTCAATCCCCAAATAAGCAAGGAAGAACAGTATCTCCTCCTAGTGCATACACATACTCACTCTCACATAGTCCAGTCCAGAAATGTCAGAAGGACTGATAGATGGAGCAAACAATGACAGGAACAGAGGAGAAACACAGGGTTGGATAATTCTCTGAGCACACTGCATCTGGTTTCTCTGCACAGCATGGAACTTAAGGCATCCAGGGCTCAAGAGTCCCTACCATCCACCAAAAATAACACGGACTGCAATCTTGGAATTAAATATCACAATACTACAGTAAACGCTTAAATTAATTTCTATCTCAGAATTCAACCAAGTCAATATTTAATTTGAACTGTTCTTCATTCTAGAACAACCTAAACCACCCCTGCAGCTAAGCTCAAACTGGAACAGAACCACCAAATGCTTCTGACCACCAGTTTGAAATCAATTTGACTCCAGTTCTGATGTGTTTGTGCTGGGAACTGTGTCTGCTTGGCTGTCTCTGCATCAGAGCACCCTGCAGCCTCCTCATCCTCACTTTTTCTCTCCTATGATGGACAGACACATGCTGAAGAGCACTCACATCTCCTCCATGAAACCACACTGCTCTCCCACAGCAAGGACCTGCTGACCACCACAGCTTGTCACAGCACCCAGGTATGCTCCAGTGAGTTCAGACACTACAGAGCAATCCATAACAGGGTCCTGGCCACAGTGCTCACTCCAGTTCTGTGATGACAGAACAGGGACCACTGTACATGCCAGGAGAAACCTGCAAGCACCCACCAGAGCCTACCTGCATGTGTCTGTCCAGAAATGACACCAGTGCACTGTGAAATAGGACAAGTGCTCTGTATTCCCCAGGAAGAGGAGGGCACTAAGGCTTCTCTGCCCCCATCCCTCCTGCATCCCTCTTACCCCATTTCTTAACCAGCACCACCATTCCCATCCTTCCCAGTTCAGCATCACAGCAAATCAGTCCCACACAGCAAACCTAGCAGATTTGGAGAGATGCTACAAGACCATACTGGAAACATAAGTGGAGGTCTAGGTCTGGGCAGGGAACCAGCATGGGGAAATGAGAGATATAAACCATTTCCTCAGCTGACAACACGCTCTGCTGGCCATCACCACCTCGTGCCCATTTCCAGCATACACTGGGCCTGGACCAGAACTGAACTGGAAGAATTTCAAACACAGATGAATCCTATTCAGAACTAAAAAATTTAATGGTTCAACTCCCTGCTTTTAATGCTGTTGTAAAGAGCAACACACTTTCAATTTGTAACCACAACAAAAGGCTTTTAAACTAATAAAGCATTGCCTTGCTGTAAAAAAATGAAAAGGCTGCTTTATTGCAGATAATTGGCAAATCTGCCCTATCAGTATAGATGCTTGGAGAGGAGAACATGCTGCACTATACAGAACCTATTTCTAGATAATTTCAGTAATCCTATTCATTTCCCACCACAACTTTTACACTCTGCCCTGAAAATTTCATTTGGATTACTCAATGAAACAACCCTAGATGTATATCTTCTGCCCCAGAACAGACACAGTACTCCAAACCCATTCAGTTACTGATTTTTCCACCAAGTTGGCTACAAAATGCCCACATAACTTTCTGCTGGAGTGAAAAAAACCCCAAACCAGCCCAAAAACTCCTTCCTGTTTACTACAACAAGGAATACATTCTATTCATTCTAATACCAACAACATTCAGCTGCTGCTTTTTTCCCCTGATGGGTGCAATGAGATGGTTATTGCAGTGACAGGTAAATACTCCAACATCTGAGACACTTGCACTGAGAAAACCCAACAAACCAATCCCAAACCCTAAAAAAACCCCACAAGAGACCATACCTGCACTACTTCATTCAGAAAGGCTGTTCAAAGTCTTGCTTTCTTAAGCACAACAGGAAGCAAAAAGAGACTATGGCTTATGACCCCAATTTGCCCGTCTCTCCATACCCTGATGCCTTCCAAGATGTTTCATCCAGGCCATGCTCTCAGCTCCAGGTCTGTATGCTTCTCTCCCTATTCACCAGACATAATTATTCTTCTCTGATGTTCAACAGAGACTCTCCACCCAAGTACCTCACAGGTACTTTGATGGACTTACATTTCACTTTGCCCTTGTTCTTTGCTACATTGCAGTGTATACACATGAGAAGCAGCAGCAGGAGAAAGACAAGAGTTGTAATTTTGTCTCCTTGACAAGCCAGGTCTGTAATTCTGACAGATATGTATATATCTGCAAAAATTAGCCTGGAAATTCAGCTGAAGCTTTACAGACAGGCATAAAACCTTGCTGAAATGGAGCAATAGGTGGGAATTCATATGGAAACTGGAAAAAAAAAATTCATATGGTATCTACAACTATACTATAATAAAAAGACCTACTCACTAACCAAAAGCCTTTTGACTACTTTTTATTGGCAGTAATGTCATAATGAGATGAACAATTTCCTGGTGCCCTCTCACATGAGTGAAAGCAGAAGGAGCTGGGGGTTAAAAGCTGCTGCTGTCCCACGATGACTGGGAAGCAGGTGGTGGAGTGCAGAGCACATGTGGGAGGGAGCAGAGATGGAGGTTGGGCACAGCTCTAATGA